AAATAATACTGTTCGACAAGTTTCAAACACAAGCACGGCAATTTGAGATTTTTCGACTGCCTGACGTTTAGTCCCAGAACTAAACGTCAGGCAGTCGAACTTGTTTTAAAAAAATCGATTTTTCTCGCCGATTACTAGATTACAGCAGATACACGTATTTTTTGTAAAATAAGTCGTTGTCAAGTGTGTATGATTTAGCAGGTGTAACCGACGCCATTAAAATCTACTTTTTTAATTTTATTTGCCTGTCAAACAGTTGTAACAATAACTCCCGCCAGATTGCCATTCCCTCGGTTTTTCCACGCGTTTTACCGGAAACGAACGCTAAAACCGGAAAACAAAACCACTCCGTAGTAGTTGTACATATTTTTTACTAATTGCGCATGGGAATTTTTCAACCAATCAAATCAAAGGCTCAATCGTCTCCAACCAGAGCCTTCGATTTTCCGTTCGGAAGCTGAGAAGGGTCTGGGTACGAGAATGGTCTAATATCAGTAGAAAATTTCACTTCCCCACTATGGTTGGTCACCACCCTATTCCCAGTACCCATTTTTCAATTTCCACCTCCCCTCCCTCTGCTAAATTTTGCCCAAGACCTTATTTCGGTCTATGTTCCATTTATCTTGTACTATTAATTGAAATTACAGTTGTTCCGACGACTGTAAAAAAGTCGACTGCATGACGTTTAGTTCAGTCTGGGACTAAACGTCAGGCAGTCGAAAAATCTCAAAGTACCGTGCTTATGAACGGGGCTTATGACTATAAAAACTTGTCGAACAGTATTATTTCTGCCTTTATTGAATTTCTATGGTCATATTGAATTGAAATTACTGTTGTTCTGACGATTTTTCAAAAAAAAAAAAAAAAAATCGACTGCCTGACGTTTAGTTCTGGGACTAAACGTCAGGCAGTGGCAAATCTCAAAGTGCCGTGCTTGTGACTATACAAACTTGTCGAACAGTATTATTTCGGTATTTATTGCATTTTCCTTGTTGTATTAATTGAAACTACGGTTGTTCCGACGATTTTTCGCACAAAAATTCGACTGCCTCGGGCAGTCAAAAAATCTCAAAATGCCGTGCTTCTTGTTGTATTAATTGAAACTACGGTTGTTCCGACGATTTTTCGCACAAAAATTCGACTGCCTCGGGCAGTCAAAAAATCTCAAAATGCCGTGCTTGTGTTTGAAACTTGTCGAACGGTATTATTTCGAAATATATCCATCTTGAAATCACAAGTGAATCCTGCAAACTGATTGGTTCTTAGCAGGTTGATTTCAGCCTAAATCGCACCATTCTAATTCTTAATCGCTCTCCTTTGAGGAGCTAATCACAATGCAAAACAAGTAAAAGGCAACCAATCACATTACAGGATTGTGTGTGGTTAACCAATGAAACTACATCAAAAAGGACACGCAAAAAGTACATTTTTTGGTTTTACAGCAAATATTTTTTATGAAAATATATCTGCAAATTGGATTATTTTAGTTCTTACTTACAGTTTTAGATGACAATGTACTATCTCAGTGTAATTTTTCATCATTTGCTACTTCTAAATCCTGACGAAAGTGTAATTTACAGTCCAAAAATGTCAGAAATGTTCAACAAGCGATCAGTGCAAGTTCATGCAGCTCAGTTTGCAACTGCAACACAAACAATTGAAGCCCGTCTATTAATTAAGATTTCCAGGGCTTATAAATTATGCAGACATCCTTAGGCTTCAGGTCACTAATAAGAACAAAGGCAGCAACAAAAATTTGGAAAATGTGGATGAATGTCCTCGTTCACGAGCCGCCATCTTGACTGTCAAGCGAGTAAAACTTTTGAACAACATTTTATGCCAGTTCTATGCTAGAGTAAGACTTCAAAAAGTTGACAACTACCAACCAGAAACAGTAAGACAGAAACAAAGTTCCTTTGACCGCTCTTTGAACGTAAGGATTGTGAAGGCGAGGAAATTCTTAAAATCACATGGCATCGATCGCCTTCGCCGGCGGCTTTATGCAAATTTGTCGATAAACACGTTAAAATATCCATCTCAAAGACCCTGCAACAACTCTTTAATCTTCYTTGCGACAGGCGAAACAGACGGCCTCCATAATGTAATCTTATGAGGACTCAAAATGAAACAAAACTTGAAATTTATCAAGTTCGTCGTAGTTTTGCTCGAAGTGAAGTGACATGACCTGTCAGTTTATGAATTGCAAATGAGATGTAAAAGACTTTCCGGTTCCGGTTTTAAAAAGAGACGACTGTCTTTTTTTWTTAGGATTTATGGATATAATTAAGTGGTAATTGAACTTCATGTCGTGCAATTTTGGTCTGAAATCARACTTGCAATTACAAAACGCACTCCCGCTTCGCGGTCGTGCGATTTTGTAATCGCGCGTTKGATTTCAGACCAAATTGCACTCCACTCAGTTCAATTACCATTATTTATTGCATTCCACTTGTTGTATTAATTGAAATTACGGTTGTTTCGACGATTTTTTAAGAAAAAAATCGACTGCCTGACGTTTATTCCTGGGACTAAACGTCAGGCTGACTGACGTTTAGACACTCCGAATATGTATTGCACAGACCTTAAATCTTTAAGTGTGATCTTTAATGACAGGGGGAAATGAAGAATTCATTAAAATGCTTACCTCTCCTTGGTTTGTCAGTCTCATCTTTCTCAGGYTTGGCCATTTCATTTTCGGTTTCATCTGCAAAGAAAAATCGAAATAAGGCACAAGCGAACCTTCGGCAGATGGCTCGCAATCACAATGAAATAGACCAAAATAGYGTTGAAGAAAAACTGCACAAAAGAAAACAATGCAAAAAATGTTAAAAAAWTATCTTCGGTATAAGTTTTGTCTTTGAAAACTGGCTTTATGCATATCAGTGATCCTGTTTATGTACATCCATATATGGAATCGTAAGGTAGATCCTTCTAGCGGAACGACTAAGGAAATCCAATGGATACTTTTACAGAATGCGTACRCATGTCCCACCTCATRCACATGAGGACTATTCTTTCCGAATTCTTAAATTTRTACAAAAATAAGAATAATAATAATAAATAAAGTAAATGCCCGTCAAAGTTGAAGTAGATTTAGGGGAATKTAGGGTCATGCAGTAAGTAACTGCCAGGTTCGAATCTTCAAATTCGACATTAAAAAGTATGGGTGTTGGGTGCTAATCGTCCTTCATGGCAGCACGGGTGCTGAATTGCGAAAGACGCAGCTCGACGCSCTATCAAGTYGAAGTGMTATATTACAGACACATTTTTACACACACTTACACATAGGCGTGCTGCCGGCTAGGCGCTTCCTTTATATAGCAACGATTGACTGAACGCGGAGCACAGCAGATAGAAATAGTTCGTTTTTACTGAGGGAGGAAAACCCGGAAAGACCCGGAAAAACCCTCGACGCAAGGGGGAGAACGAAAGAAACTCGAATCACATATGGCGCCCCTACCGAGATTCGAACAGGGTCCACAGAGGTGACAGGCCAGCGCTCTCACCGCTCGGCCACCCATGCCATTTAGTCTTTTAAAATATTCAAAGTTCTTCTCTGCATCAAACATTCTTTATKTACATCAGTGATTCTGTTTATGCACATCCATATATGGATTCGTACGTCATACCCTTCTAGCGGAATGACTTCGGAAATCTTATGAATACTTCCACAGCGACCCAATTATCCTAACAGACATATAGTAGYTGAATATAATTTAAGATTTGAACGCGCAGTGCAGGATACGCCATTGATAATAAAAGTTCTTACCACTCAGGGAATTTTCATCTTCTTCGTTTTCAKCTTTGGCCGCATCGTTTTCTGATTCCTCTGCGAAGAAAAGGAAACACTGAGATTATTCGACCAATTCAGGATATTAAGATTAATTTTTATRTAATTAGGATATTTATATTTGTAAATCGATATTTTAGATTATTATTATTTGTTTGTAAATACATGTATATATCGGCTTGATGCGAAAGCGTTGTCGATCAATAAACGTAGATGTAGATGTAGATGTTACCAAGTACACCGACTTGGGAAAACACGGAAGTCTGAAGCTTAAAAGATATTAACTGAAGCGTATAGGTATGCGGGGTCTATCAAACGTCCGTCGTAGAATATTCAATTCAATATAGATTTTTTTCACACTGATTTGCTAATATATTTGCATAATCATAAGATAAGGAAAAMATATTAGCGAGAATTAGAGTTATTTCTACTGATAAAAGGGGAAGAGTTCTCGAGTTCAATGGTCAACACTAATAACTAGATATAGAGTTTTAGTGYGCAATATTTGTGAAATGTGCGCTATGTATTTTATGGAAGATAAGAGAAACAAGAATCAAACTTTGATGGGGAGGGTAAATACGACAAACTGTATTTGTGAAATTATTTTGGGTGTTTCTTGAAAGAAATGATATTTTTTCCKGAATTCAACTAATATTTAATGGTCATAATTTTGTAAAACCAAATGACTAGGCTTGAGATAGGTAGTTGAATTTACAACTTTATTGAATAGTATYAGGAATTAAKTCTACATACCAGGATCATCTCCTTCGATGGACTTTTCGTCGTTTTCAGCTTTGACAACTTCGTTTTCGGATTCCTCTGCAGAGAAAGTAAATTAAGATCACT